ATATACCCACATATATATGGAGAAAGGATTTGGAACAAAATCAGACTATTAGAACCAAATTTCAAATATAGCATAAATTAAGTTGTTTCATAATTTGGGTGCACCATATATATCATTTTTTTTGCTATATATATATATATAGAAACACTTTTGCTTTGGCTTTTAGCCTTTTGCCAGGCAGACTAGTAATTAAATTGCATATGTTATTTGGAGAAGTTAGTAGTATATATAGTAAGTTAAAAAGGTGAATAGTTTGAATTCTATTTACATTAATGTTATTAAAATCTCAAAGTATTATTAGGAACAGGAAAATTTGGGAATTAGTTCTCTTCTGACCAAAATTTCATTCCTCAGTTCATTCTTATAATTATTATTTTAATTATGTTTAGAGACACACATATTGAGGGGTTAGTTGCTGCTAACTATTGGAAAAAATCTACGATTAATTATGATAAAACTGAGTGTGAATAAAAAATTGTAGATTTTTTTTCGATAGTTAACCGAAATTGTAGATGTAAGAAATTATAAACCCGAAATAAATACAGCCAGATGTAAATTAAAAGATATAACTATTTTCTGAGTTTTTCGTATAAATTTAAAATTTTATCTTTATTTTTACTCAAATTTATTAAATTTTAATAAATGTTTAATCATTATAAATAAACTTTAATAACATAAATTATATATTATATATTTATAGTGTTATTTTATATTTAATATGATATTGGATAATAAATGTTGTGGATTAACATTTTATATGTTAAATGCAGTAATAATTGGAGTTAATTTTTTATTTTATTTTTATTTGTCTATGAATTAAAATTTGATTTATTTGTTTTAAACCAAAAGCTGTTAATTTTAATCATACATACCTGATGTTAATTTTAATTTATTTATGTAAATTAAAGTAGATTAATCATACATACCCGAAGTATTCCATTTGAAACTTTAACACAATCTTTTCATCATTCAACAGAACTTCAAGTAGAAAGAAAAAATTTTCACTCAATTATGATTTACAACATGATGAACAGCCAATCAGCGATCATTGTTGAGGCGAAAGACGCGAGCATACTTGTAAACAGAGCAAAAGGCCTGCAGTGATACCAGGAGCAACAGCAAGACAGCAGCCATTAATGTTAGGAACTGCCAAGAACTATAAACATATTGATTTATGAGTTTTCTAACTCTAACTCTCCAATGGTTATTGTAATACTTGTTTATGTCTTCTATCACCTTGTCTAAGAAATCCACTTTGCTCAATCTCAGGGACTTGCTCATCCCATTCCACAGCTTTGCAGCTTCTTCATCGCTCTTTAAGTGGTTCAAGATAATACCTTTCTCTCTAAGAAGTTTTATGTCCTCTTCGGTGTCAATTATTCCATCCATTAACTCTGTGTAACGAGTGAAAACTAGTGGCCCGGATCCATTCCATGCCTCATATGCCACCAAGTTTCGCAGTAAAACTTGCGTGTTGATGTCTAAGCTAATGATAGGAAGCTGAATTGTTGCTGTTTCAATGTTGAAATCCGTGACTAAGATGTTGGAATTACTGGCTAAGAAACGTATGCCGGCCTCTGAAAGCTCTGTCACAGACGGGATGGTGATCTCCTCTACTAACGGTGACTTGTTGTTATTGTTGTTGTCATCGTTTGAAATCATGTTGTTTGTTCTTGTTTCTTCATTTTGCCATGCGAACAAGCGTTCAAGAGGGAGTTTGAACATTGCGAATACAGGAAGACTGGAGAAGATTTTCCAAGGTAATCTTAGCACGACTACAACAGGCTTTGATGACACCATTTTCCTTATTATTCTCTGCACTGGAACTTGTCTTATTTTTGAAAATAGCCTCCTTAAATGATTCCATTTCGACCCTTTTTCTTGCTCAGTCTCATGATCATGGCTTTCAACTTCTTCTGCAGACGTTTCTTCCACCAGAGGCACAATCATGCGGTACAAAAAGTCTAGAATGTGAGTGCATTCTGCAATTTTTATCATTGGCAACTCCTCCATTTTAAAAGGAGAGATCTCTCTACATAATCCCAACAACATTGAAAGCAACATGTCGTCAGCAGATTGTGCTGATGAGAGTTGTGATTCCAAAATATTTCTCAGTACAAAAAGTGGTATTTGATTCTCCAACATGACAATATCTCTAAGAATTGCATTGTGCCCAGGTTTCCTTCCTGAATAATCAACAAAATGTGACATTCTTGAAGGAATTCTTGATAAAGTTTTACCTTCAATGGTGGCATAGATTTGAAGGAACTCGAGCAAGAATGAGGCGTCGATTGCCATCATCCATGCTAAAGTTTCACCGTTAAAATCCAAGTATTTGTGATAACAAGCTCGAATTCTAGGCTCCACATGTGTCAACTGCTCAACAAGAAGTTGAAAACAAAGGCTTTGCAGTTGCGTCTGAGTTCTTTTTGCTGCAGCTAGCTTGTATCTTTCCATCTCATAAAGTTCAGGTCGCCAACAATGGTAAGGGCCTAAAGCAATTTCCTGTGGAGTGTACAAATCTGGATCACCAGACAACAACATTTTAGGAACATTGAAAATGCATACAGGAGCTTCCACATCCTCTTCCAAATCTTCCTCGAGGGCTCTGCGAATGTTGATGACCCATTGAGTATGATCCAAGCTAGGGTTCGAATTAAAGGGCATTTTCTGTTGTACCTTCCGGAATTGAGCAGATTTTTATGTGTTTTTTTGGTCTTGATTGCTTTTCAGTTAGACCTGTGGGAAAAGGCAGTTTTGGTTAATGGTAGGCTAAGGGAGTTACTACAAGTACAAACAATAAATACACAAACATATTTATCACTGTCATTAATGCAATATTATTTTAGCTGCTTTGAGTTAAGCAATGAGAAATGCGTTTCTCATGCTAAAGAGCTTTCTCTTAGGAAATTCTTCAACCTAAACAATAAACTTCAATCTACATTTTAAATGAGAAGTACGGTACCAATAGAAAATTATGCTACCAGTAGAAAATTATTGCCTTGCGAAAACTTGATATATACAAAAAAAATATGGGTGATTTGTGTTCCTTTCCCATAACAAAAAGGAATGTCAATATGCCTTCTGTACTGGGTTATTATCCAGACGGAGCGTCAATAGCTAAAAGAATACCAGCAAAGCCAAATGCTTCACAAACAGAAGATAACATTATCCATAGAAAATTAAAAAATCCATCTTGCTTTCATATCAGCAGCTCTCTATTTTTTGGTGTAAAACACAGTAACTACCTCGTCCCACTATTTACAAAGAAATCAGGCTTGATATGCTATTGTTTCACCACTTGCTGAAATGAAACTAAAAAATATTCAATAGCAACAAAGAAACCAACTTTAAACATCAGCCAATAAGCTATTTCTTCCTGCATAAGATTGAAGTAGGAGAAAAACAAGGATACTTCACATGCCAGTGCAATTGGAAGATTACCAAACCAAAGCTAATTTTTCATCAGCTGTCCAAAAGAACATCCTAAACCCTAAAAAATAATTGCCAGAACAAGAGCACTATTTGAGTTTCCTGATGAATGCAGGATCCTGATGTGAGAATTTGCACATCATTCGATATCATTAACCACTAGAAGCTCGTCAAATAGGCAAAATCCTTTTGTAGCCCATATGCTCATGCTCCAGAATGGTGCTCTTTTCATAGGGATTCATTCAGAAGTACTTCTCTGTTGGCATAAACAACAATTTTCAGCTAGCAAAACCTTCTCGTACATCATGCTATATCCATTCCAGCCTACTGCCCTGAGCATCATCACAATTTTACTACTCATCATCATCTTACTTCCGGATGATGGCCAGGAGGATTTGAAAGCACATAATGGCATTTAGATTTCCAAGGTTTAGCCAAGGGTCTGCTAGGATTTATCGTACTTGGTTTGGTGGCACCATGTCACCTGATTCTGCAAGTCATGACAAAATTACTTAGGAGTGCCTTGACTTATTTTTGTTTCTCACCTTTGGCAAGAAAGAATAATTTTTTATCATGACTGAGGATCTTTAACAGAATATTTTTCCATCTCCCTTAAGGCAATTAGTACTGATTGGACTTCTGGAGATCTGTTTCATGTAGTTTGGTTTATGTTCAGTGCAAAACTGGCTTTACCGTCTGAATACCTATACTATGGTTACAAACTATCCACACCATATGAGTCTCCTTGAACCAACTTTGTTCCTAGCTCTTCCCTTAGCTTAGGTGAAAGCCCTTTTGCTAACATTTCTTCATCATACATTCTAGCCATATCTAACATTCCCTTTTGAATTAGAACATCAATCAGTGCATCATATGCACCCTTATCTGGACTACATCCCAGCTGTTCCATCTTCTTCCACAGTACAAAAACGGGTCGAAGAAATCCCCATCTACCAAACTTTCTCATCAGCATCACATATGTGTCCATCCTTGGACGAACCCCACTCTCAATCATCCTATCAAAAAGCCAAAGAATCTCCCTTGGTTTCTCAAGATGCCCAAAAAAGCAATGATATGTAATTGCATTTGGCAGACAATGCTTCTTCTGCATTTCATTGACCATTGCATATGCTTCTCTCATCCTCCTATTTTCACACAAAAGCTTTATGACTGTGTTATAAGTCACAACATTTGGCTGACAACCCAACTCTCTCATCTCACGAAACACCCGAATCCCAAAATCTACACCCTTGGAAATCCCAATTCCTTGAATAACAGTATTGTAGGCAACCACATCCAACTTTATTCCCTTCCTCTTCATCTCTTTATACAACATTACAGCCTTATGTGGCTTACCACTCTTGCACATTATATCCATATAAATAGAATAAGAATGTAAATCCTTGACAACACCCTTCTTATCCATCTCCTCCCAAAAGTCCCTACACTTACCCCACCACCCAATCTTAAACCATCCGCGAAGAATCATATTATGAATCTTTGTCTCACTCACATTGAAATTACCGAAAACCATATTCTTGTTTTTCCCAAAGCACAAATCTTGGGCCTCAATAACATGCTTATACTCGCAAAGCGAATCAATAAGATTACAGTAAGAAGTCTCATCTTTCAAATTGAACTCTTCTAGTCTATCATACGCACAAATTGCTTCTTTAACCAGACGTGCCGATACATAACGTTTAAACATGATACGAAAAGTAGCATGATTGGGCATTGAAAATGGATTTGTTTGCATGCGGTGTATCAAATCCCATGCGAGGTCAAACTCGAAGAACTTACCCAAAATATCTATCATTCCATTGAATGTTTCAGTGGTGTGGGTATACCGGGAATCCGCATCGACCCACTTGAAAAACTCGAGCGCGCGTCTCCAGTCGTTACTGTAGGAGACGAGCGTTTCACGCACCGTTTCGTCGTCAATGGTTGGTGAAGGTGATGAAGGTTTTGGTGTCATATTGTCAAATTTTGAGAAGGGGATTGTGGGCTTGGAGAAGAACCGGTAGATGAGACAAGAATGGAGGATCTGCGGGAGACAAAATGAAGGATTTGGGTTAAAGCGCAGAGAGGAGATTGGAGAAGGCATTTTGCTCCGTATTTTTTGGTTCTTAACAACAGAGTTCAAAGGAAGCTGCCGCTGATTATGCTGCAAGCTCGTTCAAGCGATGCAACGGAGGTGGGTTCCTCCTCTGTTTCATAAACCTTTGCCCTCGGCGGAATTCGCTTGTGCAGTGCTTTTCCTCCTTTCTTTTTTTCTTTTTTTCTTCAGGGATGTGTTTGTAACAGAACAATTTGAACGGGGGTTTTATCTTAAATACTCAAATTTCCTTTCCTAATATTTATTTTTTTTATAGATTACTCGATAAACTAAATTTGCATTTAAATATGTATATACATTTAAAATTTGTCCAAATAAGCTTCTAACGAAAAAAAAAATATTAATTCTATTAAATTGCCTATAAAATTATGATAATATGGGCACGCAAATAATTTTTTTTTTAAATTATCATATTAATAATATTAAAATTAAACGAAATATCGATAAATAAAATTCTTTTTTAAATTTATTTATCATTTTTTTACGTTACTCTTTTAATCTTTTGTTTCTTAAATGTATATATCAAATTAATATACCATTATCATTATGCCTATTATTTTACATTTCGTGAGTTTTGGAAGCTCAAATAGCATCTAACATGTACAAGACAAGTTGGTCAATATGTAACATCCCTAGAAAAAAAAAAAAAACAAAATAAGAAATCGAGGGTCCAGATCTCATCCCGTAATGAATGGCTATGATTTAATTTCACCCACTATATAAACGGCACTGTTTTTACATCAAAAAAATAATAATAATAATAGAAGGGGGAAGAGGAAGAAACTCTCAGAGGGAGAGAGAGAAGCTGCCGATGGATGGAGAGGGAGCAAAATAGAGAGAAATTCGGGAAGAGAGGAGAGCAACCAAGCAGAGAAGCATCGGCGGCTGAGAGGGACTAAAAAGAGGAAGAGAGTCCACTCGATTTATTTCCGTCTCGCGAATCCGAGAGGTTAGTTTACTTCAGCCCCTTTTCGACCTGAATTTGAATTCATTAATCGCATTAGGAGGATTTGAAATGGAGACGGATGGAAGCAGGCTGTAAGGAAACTTAACAGTAAATGTAAAATGCTTATATGTATACTTTTATGTATTATATTGTCCGGATTTCATTGTGGTTATAGGCGAATGATAGGCTGAGGGGGAGAGCTCGGGTGAGGCTAATAGATTGAGGTTCTGAGTGTAAAACTGGGCGGAGTTAACCAAAATCTGGGAATGAATTCCTGAAGTGTGTAGTAGCCAGGGAAGGAAAAAGTTGGAAACAGACAGAGAAAGCACCGAGGCATTGCTGGTTGAACAAAACTGCCCTCAGTTGTCATCTTTAGCTGCAACTACAAGAGTAAAAAATTTTAGCACAGGTTCAACGTGGCTCTGATACCAAATATTGAATCTAGTTTAATACAGTATACAAATAGAGTAAAAACTCTGGGTTTTTTTTTATAAACATGGATCAAAGATCATTATCAGTGCCCTGATTTTCAGGGATTATTAAAAACAGAAAGCTGAAAGACTAAGTCAACAACTAAATTTTCATAACATTTGAGAGGTAAGTTCACTTCAGCCCCTTTTCGACCTAAATTTGAATTAGAGTGTATGTAAATTCATTAATTGCATTAGGAGGATTTGAAATGGAGTCTCCGGAGATGAATGGAAGCAGGTTATAAGGAAACTTAGCAGTATATGTGAAATGCTTATATGTATACTGTTATGTATTATATTGTCCGAATTTCACTATAGTTATGGGCGAATGATAGATTGAGGGAGAGAGCTCGGGTGAGGCTAATAGACTGAGGTTCTGAGTGTAAAACTGGGCGGAGTTAACTAAAATATGGGAGTGAATTTTTGAAGTGTGTAATAGTCAAGGAAGGAAAAAGTTGGAAATAGACAGAGAGAGCACCAAATGAGAGATGAGTATCACAGAGAAGGACAAAAAGGGATTCTGGGAGGCATAAGCATGAACAAAATTTGATAATTGATACAGATGAGAAACTTACTGGATTATAGGTTAGTTGGGACGGTTTTGAGGTGAGTTGAAGTACTTTTAGGTGAACCATACATTCCAGTGACCAAAGCCCAGAGAATGAGGGTGAGGGCATAATAGTAATAGTAATGAATTGGCATGAAAAGAGTTGAATATGGAGTTGTAAATGGCAGGGATGGTAATGTGGGATAATGACGGCGCTGGTGACAGAAAATAAAGAGTAAATATTAATCAATACTAAACAGAGGCTAATTCATATTTTTCTGTATGTTGTTTCTTATAGTGTGGTGTGTGTGTGGCCTGTGCTTGCTGGAGTGATGGGAACCAGCTAACTGACAATCAGTCAGCAGAGTGGACCAGATAACAAAGGGTCCGAAGGGGAGTGAATCTCCCGGATATGTTCTGTATATGAGGCCAGAGTTGTGGCTGAGAAAGAAAAGGTCAGAAGGGTCGTGTCTGGCATGCAGAATGCAAGATGTGTGTGTGTGCGTGCATGGCCCTAGTGGTCGGTGTGTGTGCGTTATTTGCTGGTGTGAATAGTACAGGTAGAGAAATGGGCCGGTGGAGCAGAGTGTGAAATCTGATAGAAATTTAGTGAAAATAAGAGAGAGATGAGGGATAATCATGAAAACAAACCATGGAGTTAGGAATGGGTGAAATAAGTAAATGTGTTGGGTGATTCAGTTGACAATATATTGCTTTAATGTCTTTCAGTTGCTAGATAAGAGTTTCTGTATGTATATAAAAGAGATGAGAGGAACTTATAGAAATTAAAGTGGAGATACTAATAACTTAAATAGACATTTATATTGAATGATTTTGTGGATATGTATACATTATGTTAACGTTTTTTATTTAATTTTTTTAAGGAAAAAAACTTAAATTTTCATTGTAATTGTAGTGCATCTTTAGGAGAACAAATTTGTGTTATTACAAGTTGAGAACTTTTAAAAATAGTTGATATTAGCTTTAAATAGTTGATTTATGACACTTGTTAAAGGTTAAAGATAAAAGAAGATACTTAAATGTTGTTAGAAACTCATAGTTAAAACTTGTCTTTAAGTTATTTGTTTATTATGTAATCGATAAATGAAAATAGAATTATCATTCATTTTTTATCGGATTGAAAATACACTTGAAACTCTATTATTTAAATTGTTTAGCCTTGAAAATGTATATTGTCTCTCCTACTTGTTAAATTACCAAAGCAAAAACAAAATTCATGTATGAAAAAACTTCATAAAATATAAAATTAAAAAACGTAATATATGATTAAATAATTACCATATTTGGAGGCTTAAGGGAAAAAAAAAAATTTGGATCTCCACCGTGATAGCTAATGAAAAAAGACAAGTCACTATAATAAATTAGATTATTCATGACTTCTCTCGTTGAACATGGATTTCAACTATCGAATACAAATAATTGTAGACATTGTGAATATGTAAATGAGAATGATCTTAATTGTTAGTCCATAATTTCTTCGCGAGGTAGAGCGAAAATCATTTGGTTAACATTGAGAAATTGAAATGGGGTTTG